TGCGAGCATTTATTGTGGTTTGGTTTGGGCTTTTCCTAATTTTTTTTTTTTTTTTTTAATTTTCCCCCCCACCTCTTTCCACGCAAACGCCGCTGTGAGCTGTGCTCAGGAGATGCTGCAGGGGGGAGGCAGAGATTTGGGAATGGCCCCGGGCTCATGAATAATTCTGGCTCTGAATTCCCCCGGCTCCTCGGGAGCCCCGTCCCGCAGAGCCTTGGCACCGGATCCTATTGTGGGCTGGGATATTTTTATTTTTGCCTTTCAGCTGTCATTTGGGTTCTGGAGGCGAGCGCTGAGTGCTGAGGGGTCTGGGCTCGCACCGTTCGGGTCCTGCTGGATTTGTGCGGAGCTTTTGGGGCTCGGCACGGCGCTGACAGGAGGAGGGCAGGGAGGGGATGCGGGGCTGGGATGCAGCTCTGGCCCCGCCAGGGCTGGCCCCGGGCACGGGGAGAGCTCCAGACCCCTCCGGGGGGTTTAAATGGGTTTTTAGGGAGCGCTCTAGACCCTTCTGGGGGGTTTAAATGGGTTTTTTAGGGAGCGCTCTAGACCCTTCTGGGGGAGTTAAATGGGTTTTTTAGGGAGCTCAGGTCCTCCCACCCCATCCCATCCCTGCCTGCCCTGCCCTGGACCCCCTTGTGGTGCCAAACTGGGGCCAAGAGCAGCCCCCAAACATCGGATCCGGTACCGGGGTGCTCTGAATGAGCCGAAAATCAGAGCCTGGAGAAAGAAGAGCGGGAGGAACCTTCTTGTGCAAGAGCAGGAGGAGCCCAGGGACCCTCCCCGGTACCGGGACGGGGAAGGAGCAGCGGGAGGAGCCCCCCTGGCCCGGGCACGGCCCCCGGCGAGAAGTGACAGGCGGGAGGCAGCGGGGCCACTGTAACCATTCGTTTATTGTTCCTCATGGCATTGACACGATAATGACACGGCCACGGGCAGCGGAGCAGAAATGAGCCCATCCCAGAAAAGCAGAGCTGTCCCCCGAGCCGTGGCTCTGTCCCCAGGGCAGCCAGAGCCGGGACACTCCTGCAGCCACAGCTTCCCCGATGGCTTCTCCAGGAGCAGAGCCTCCTCTTCCTCTTCCTCTCCCCCTCCCCACCTCCCCCCTCCCCAGTGACAAGTGCTACAGGTTAAAAATTGGGCTACATATTAAATATAGGGCGTTGCCTTCAAGTAGGGCCGGGGTATTACACAAATAACCACATTTTTTTGGTATCACTAGCATATATTTTTTTTTTAATGTCCATCATAAGACACCATTAAAAAACCCAACAACTTCAGCCTTCTTTATCTACAAAGATCTCTGATCTCATCTCCTTAGTCTGGTGTTATTTTACCCTGCACGTAACAAGTATTAGAAGCATTATTAAGAATCGTATCCTTCAACACATTTAAGAATTATATTATTATAACAAATAAGACCAAAAATTAGATTTTATAGTTAAATATTCTGTGAGCCAGACAAAGGGGCTTTACTGTACAAGCGATTGTGCATTTTTTTTTTAAAAAAAGCAAATTATAGTGCAAAGCAAAAACATTGGCCTGTCTCATGACCATTTGCATACAACAGAGGTGCATCTATTTACACCTTCACATGACAATATGTCACAAAAACAACATCGCTGCCATTCTTTTTATTATTTTCTCTTTCAAAACTCGCTACAAACAGTCTTAAATTAACCTAACAACTACGAATGCCTTGTTTCCTTTGTGCTTTCAACCAGTGGGATGGGATGACAAATGCAGAAAGGCATCAGAACTCAGGACAGGCTGCCCTGTCCAGCTCCAGAACCGGCCAGCGCCGGCGCTAAGGCAAGTGGAGGTTGCAGTTTTGCTGGGGTAAGGCGTTTTATTAAAAAAAAATTATTATTATTATTATTATTATTATTAATATTATTATTGAAAAGAGTTGTTCTTCGTTGCTTGTGGAACTCGGAGTGGTCATGGCAGCTCTCCAGGGCAGCCAGGAGCTGTGGTAGTGCAATCGCAGCGCTCTGTGCTGAGGGGGAGCGGCTGCCAGCTGGGAGCTGGGGACAGGTGACAAGGCTGGGACGGTGTGGCTGAGGCACAGGGGCCACCAGGGCGGCTCTGGGGGATCCGTTTCCTTCTGTTCGTGGGAGAAATGGGAAAAGCAAGGCGCGGTTACTGGTGGCACTGGGGCTGTGCAGGGCGGTGGGTACTGCAGTGATGGATCCCCAGGAATCCGCCTGTGCCCCCCCAGCCCTGCCAGCACGAGGAATCCCCAATCCAGCCCCAATTCCCGTGCCAGCAGAGGGCACAGCTGGCCTGCAGGAGGTGACAAACCCTGTGCTGTGCATCAGAGCCACCCTGAGCTGGCCCTGGAGGAGCCCACAGCCCCCTGCAGCCGCCTCCCACCGTGGCCCTGCGTGGTTGCAATCTTTTTGGGGGTCAGCTCTGAGGGTGTGTGGTGCTTGTTCCTGAAAATGCCACCTGATGCCACCTGGAGTGCCCCCTGTTCACCTTATTCCTTTACAGTGAAATCCCCATGCTCCAGGGGTCACCTGGAGGGGAGGGACAGGAGGGTGAGGGGATGGAAAAGGCTGCACAGCATCAGCTCACAACATTCCCACCACCAGGAGTGCAAACTGCTCCTTCCTGCAGATCTCAGAGCTTTCAGGATGAACTGACACGTGTGAGTCAAAACAAGAAATTGTGTTAATCCTCTCTGGGTGAGAAGATGGGGAAGGACCAGAACAGAATGATGATGCTTTGCCACCAGCTGGGAGTGTGGCCACTCGGAGGGGACGGAAGGAACACCTGGAGAACGGTGGCAAGGCCGTGCCAAAGGCTCCTGAGCCCCTTGGAAGTGCATCCCAAACGTCTCAGATTGTCCTGAACGCCGCCTTCGCTTCAGCCACCGTCACTGAGGTTTGCTAAGGGGAGCAAAGAGCTGAATGGTGAGGTCAGGACAAGAGAGCAAACAAACAAAACAAAACATCTCTGTAAAAAGTACATCTCGTGTGTAAACATGGAGGGGAGGGGTCAGCCAGGCCCGGGGTCAGCCACGTTACTGATTGACAGACGACGACAGCAACAGCAAAATGAACAATACAACTTCTGCCGTCAACAAATAATAACAACAATCACATCACAGCTCTTGTTCACGTGGCTGACCGAGCCCCAGTGCCCCTGGCTGTGCTGCACACCCCACTGCTCTTTGGTGCTCAGGGACCCTTCACCAGCGGGGAGGGAAGGACAGGAGGCAATGGGGTTTTTTTCTATTTTTTTTTCTCCTTTTTTTTTTTTTTTTTAAGTTCAGTCCTCCAGCACTGGCAGAGACATGGCTCGGATGACTCCTGGGTGTTTTCTCTTCTCTGAACCATTTTGCAGAGGAAAGGTGAGATTCTCCTCACTTCTGAATGCTTTGTGTGGGGAAGAGGTGCGAGTGAGATGAACGAGAAGTGTTCTGCAAGTACCAAACATCTGATTCCACACGTCCTTGGGGTTTTTTTTTTCCCTATGTACAATCCACATACCTAAAACACACGGGAGGAACCACATCAAGCGACACATTCAAGCCTCGTGGGCGTTCACCTTGAAATGCAACGAAGGTCTCGGTCCATCTTCGCTTGATGTTTGCATGCAGAGGATCCTTTGCGTTTTGGAAGACTTTTTGCTTTACCTTTTCCTTTGGCGGCTCCCAAAAGGACTCAAAGGCATCGCTGCCCAAGCCGAGCTCCTCCTCAGTAGGGTCTCCAGACTGACTCATCCATCCTCCCCGTGGTGCTCATGGCCGTGGGGGAATTGCTGTGGCTGCCGTCCGCGTCCACGCCGTCGCTCTGCGCTCCCAGCCCGGCGTTCATCAGGTTGTTCCCCGCCGAGGCGCTCGTGCACGACGACAGCATGCGGGTGGGCGAGCGCTCGCCCCCGGCCACCATGGAGAACTGGTAGGAGCCCGAGGACGTCCCGTAGTACAAGTGGTAGGGAGAGGGGTTAGCCTGGAAAGGGCCGCTCTGGTTCTGCGTGGAGCTGGGGTAGGGGGGCGGCAGGTAGGTGTGGTGGAAGCGGGTGGTGGTGGGCATGCTGGTCATGCTGATGCCCCCGATGCCCGTGGCCGAGGGCGTGGCGGTGTAGGGGAAGGCGGCGGACATGGCACCGGGGTAATGCATCCGCGGGTCGGAGAAACGCGTCTCGGTCAGCGCCGGCAGCGCCGGGAAGGAGCGCTCGAACTGCCGCGGGTCCGAGAAGGGGCTCAGCTCCGACGTGCCTGAGGAAAACGGCGTGGTTAGAGCAGCAGAGGGGAAAGTGTGGGCACGCTGGTAGAGATCTAGGAAAATTACAGCCAAGAAAATCATTCCCAGGCTACAGTTTCTCCTGTTTGTCTCAGCTCCGCTAGGGAGACTTTCTCCCAAAATGATAAAATTGGTCAAAATAGAATAAAACTAATAACATTAGATTAACACCTGGTGCTGACCATAGGACTCATTCTAAAGTACTGTCCCTGAGGCGTTTTCTCAATTATCCAAGGAGCTACTGTCTTGTCTTAGCTCTATGGACAACACTATGAGGACGGATTGTGCTCTAATAAAATACCTTCTTTCCCCAAGGATGTCAGTGTGTGTACTGCTGTCATTGCTCTCTTTCTATAATTCAGTAACCACAGAAAGCACCTCTTGAAAAGAGCTGAGGGACTTAAATAAAAATCCCAAATCCGTTTTGTTTAAGTTGCTCCCATTTCCTGTCCTAAAATTTGTTGTTTCCTATCCAAGAAGGGACGTGGCTAAGCTGACTTCTCTTAGGGGTCTATTCATCTCGGGCAGATTAAAGCAGCACACCCCATAAACACAGAAAAAAGATGTTTAGCCATGACATCAGCTGTGTAGTAAATAAATGGAGGCAGGCCCCAGACGGCCGGGCCTGGGATCATCCATCCCTGCTGTATACACACACACACACACACGGAGACAGGCAGGAAAAGCTGGAGCCCAGACCAGCCTGCTAAGCCTTCTTGTGGGTGGCCTGTTCGTGCTGATACCATCAGGGGATGGAGCTGATAAACACACAGCTGAAAACTCCCAAGCCAGGAGCCACAGTATCCCTCTGCTTGAGTTCTCTGTGTATTTTTCTCCTTCCAAGAGGATAAGGAGAGTGAGAAATTCAGGCTCTGTGCTTAGGGGGAAGGGAGGCTCGTGGTGGGATCGGATAATGGAGCCCCCCAGGCCTTTTCCTGGAGGGTCTGAGCCCAAAGGGGGTCGCAGCCAGCTTGGAACTGGAAGGGAACCTTGGCTTTGGATCCCCTCCTCCTGCAGGAAGCCCAGGTTAGAGGTGGGAATCTGCAGCAGAAGCTCCTCTGAGGAGCTGAAGGCATTCCTGTGGCTCTCTCGGCTGTCCCAAGGCTGAGACAGAGCCCGGGAACCTCTGACCTTGGTGCATCAAAGCAGAGAGAAATGAGATTTGCTCTCCAAGGAGAGAGTTGAAACCCCTGTCCTTCACACCTCCTCAATTTTCCTCTTGTTAAAAGCAGGGCCTTTCTCCTTTGCTGGTGGGATGCCATCCAGCCTCAAAAGTGACTTTTTTTGGTGACATCATCTGGATTTTGTATCCCCCAGAGCAAGAAACTGTGAGGTGAGTATGCTAAACATGCCTGTAGGTCTTGGAGATGCAAACACACATCCAGAGGATTGTGTGGCTGCTCTGCACGCACAGGGACGTGTGTTTCAGATCTATTTATTCCAATGAAGCATTTTTAACTTCTCAGGGCTGGCATTCCAGGCCCTGAAGCATTTCCCCAGGAGAAAACACTTGATTCAATCCCTTCCAGCCACCTAGTGACACGGGCACGCTCTGGAGGAGCAGGTATGGAGGGGATTTGATGTGAACCTCCCTCTTCTGATCCCAGGTGAGTCTTTCAGCAGGAGAAGGGGAGGATCCTCCCTCCTTTCCTCCCTCCCCTGCAGCCTTTTTGCGGGCACCCAGCAGCGCCTGCCTTCCCACGCAGGCTCCACGGAGGGGAAAGGCGGGGGAGCACCTGGTTTGTGAACGTGGCTGTGGCTTTGGGGCCGAGATAAGAGAGGAGCAGCTCAAAGCTGTCCCGAACCGCACTGCTCTGCACACACCCGGCGCTGCAAAGCATCCCTGCTCCGTGCTGGGCTGGCTGGAAAAAAACCACAGAGGTGGGGAGAAAAAAAAAAAAAAAAATCCCAGCCTGATTTCAGAGCCTGGCAGGACACGCAGGGATCCATCCCAAAGCACTGGGAGATGAGGTTTGGAGAGCAGCTCTGTGAGAAGCAGCCTGACCATGGTCTCAGTGCTGGTAGAAATCCAGCAGCATCACAGTTTAGGATTGGGACAATTGTTCAAACCTGCTCTAAACTAAAAATCCAAAACAGCACCAGGACCTCGCAGCAGTGACCCACTGGGGCCTGGCCTGGGCCGTGGCATTTTCCAGGGCTGAAAGAAATAATAACAAACTGAATAAACCGGGCTGCAACCCACAAAAAAAAAGTCTTCTAAATTTGTCATCTCTTCAGAACAGCAAAAGGTTTTGTTACTTAGAATTTTTGTGCTAAAAAGTGCTTTGCCTGTTAAATAAACAGGGTTTTTTTCCCTGCTTCTCTCCGAGAAAATATTTCCTCGAACCAGTTAAGATCTGCTAAAATCTGTTTCCTATAGAAACCCCATTCAAAAATTTTCTCCCAAATTTACCCTAAACCAGAACAACTCGGCAGCCCTGCAGTGAGAAAAAGCAGCCTCCAAACCCCCCAAAAAACCCAGATTTCTGCTCACAGCCTTCCCAGCGCTCACACCGTGCTCCTTCATTACTTTTCACAGCTCCATAAATAATATTCCATAAAATGCAAATAGAAATCCAACCTGAGCGCTCAGGGCACATTTCCCTTTTCCTCTATAACACGCTCACAGAGGTTTGGTTTTTTTTTTGTTGTTGTTTTTTTTTTTTGGAGGCTACATTTTGTTGGCCTGAACTTGCACCGTTTGGCAGTGGGTCCCTGCTATTAATTTAGAGCACGTAAGAGCGTTAATTACGGGCTCTGTATGTGTGACAGCGAGGCTGTGGGGTCTGGAGACACTCGGGTGGGCACAGAGGGAGCTCTGCCAGGCTCTGAACCCCTGCAGGGCTGCGATTTGTAAATGTGGATTTTTCAAAAAGCGAAACCCTCGGTGCCAGCCCCTCAAATGGAATCCAGCACAGCCATGAGGCGTCCGAGCGCCCGCGACCAGCTCGCTTTCACCTCCGCCGCCTTTAGGCTCTAAGTCTGGCCCAGAATAAAGCTCCAGCTTTCCCTGACCAGTCTCAGGTTACAAATAAACCCCAAAAACCACTCAAAAAAAAAAAAAAAAAAAAAAAACAAAAAAACCAAACCCGCGGTGGGCCCGCCTGAGGCGGCCTCGGGCCCGCCGCCGGCAGGGGGCGCCCTCCGCGCCGCGGGAAAGAGGCGGGAAAGAGGCGGGAGGAGGCGGCCGGCAGAGGGGGCCGGGGCCTCGCCATCGCCTCAGGGCCGGCCCTCAGGGCTCTCGGTGTGTCCTGTGTCCCTCACCTCGGAGTTCTCCTCTGTCCTGTGTCTCTCACCTTGGAATTCTCCTCTGTCCTGTGTTTCTCACCTCGGAGCTCCCCTCTGTCCCGTGTCCTTCGCCTCAGCGCTGCCCCTCCATCTTGGTCCTCGCCTCAGGGCAGCCCCTCCATCTTGGTCCTTCCCTCAGGGCTTTTCTCTATCCTGTGCCCTTCACCTCAGGGTTTCCCCTCTATCCTGGCTCCATCACCTCAGGGTTTCCCCTCCATCCCATCTCCTTCGCCTCGGGGTTTCCTCTCCATCTTGGTCCTCGCCTCAAGGTTTCCTCTCCATCTTGGCCCTCGCCTCAAGGTTTCCTCTCCATCCCATCTCCTTCACTTCAGGGCTGCCCCTCCATCCTGGCTGCCTGAAATCAGAACCACACAGCCCCTGCCCTGCATCCGAGGAAATCTCCACTGAAACAACCCCAGCGAGATCCAAATAAAACATGGCCATTAACGCCCTCCATAACCACCTAACTCAGCAGCAAGGACCCCCTGCCACAGCCAGGATCAAACAGCAACCTGGAGCGAGCAGCTGCTGAGCAAAGCCAGGGAAACAAGGAGTGGGTGAAGCTTCACCCTCAGACCTCGCATTCCCTTGGGAATCACAGCTGAAAACGGGCTTTAAAAACCCCGTCTTGCTGCCCCCTTCCCCGGCACATCTCGCACACATCTGCTCCGTAGTGCTGCCTCCGAGGATTTACTACGGTTTTCCCTCGCTTACTCGCCGTCCAGCCCCCATTTGCTTTTTTGGACCCTGGCAATCCGAGCTTGAGTACTTCAGTTGTCCAGTTGCCAATCAAAATATTTGAAGGAAATGTTTATTTTCTTCTCGAAATCACACCAGCTGCTGCACTAACTGAATAAGCCCATTTAGCTGTAAGAATTTAACCATTGTAAGAGTGAATTGAGTCCCCCAACTACTCCAAAATCTGACCCAATCTATCAGCGGAAATGTCAATGTTTTGGATGGGAGTTTGGGGAAGTGTGGAATGTGTATTAAATAAAAGCCATGTAAAGGTCAAAGCCCTGATTAGTAATGCCACTGTCTCCTCCTTAGGGCTGAGCTGCCCCTGGGACCACAGAGGCCGGGACACACCCCATGATTTAATTGTGCAGCTGCAATTTGCACCTTTTGAGGACCCCCAAGTCCCCCCCCAAACACGTGGAGCCGCATAGAAACACGCTTTGAAAGCTGCTCAGCCCCTTTCCAGATAAAACAACAGCGCTGCAGTGACACAGCAGCTCTCTCCCCACCTCGGACACAATACAGGTCTTTCCTGGGGTGGGTGGCCAGGAGATAAATGCAGGGAGATGCCCCTGATGGGAGCCAAACCTCGGCTGGCTCATGGTGGCAAGGGCTGGCCGTGAGGTGGGGAAGGCTGGTTGGTGAGGTTGCCAACCACAGAGGTTTCTCTGGGTGTGTTCAGCCACCTCCCTTCAGACCACATTGGGTTTGGGAGCTGCCTGGGATGGAGTGGAACTGGTCCCTGCACCCTGGCAGGGTCAGGGCCGGTGGATCTGCTCTGAGGTCCCTGGAAGCATTTGAGGAGATGAGGCAATGGACCCTGCGGATGGTTTCAGGGATTGATGTGCATCCAGAGGAGCAGTGGGTGCTGCCACTACCTCCTGACCCAGGAACACATCTGCTCTGCCTGGAGGGAAGAAAGGGCAGCAAAAGCAACGTCAGGAGCTCT